AATTCGCGCTATTAATACAATAGTGTATTAACTCAAAAAGAAGACTCTCAGAATCGATGAAAATCGAATTACTCACTTCCCGCAAAAATATCATTAAAATGTAAATGTTATAGTTTATTATAGACACTTAAACAATATCTCAAACATATTTAACAATAAAATGGAAAAAATAATTTCATGTTTTTGAATAAGGTTTATTTTGGCCAGAATTAGCTCACATAAAGTGTGTTTTCATGTAATTTTGAGTTAAGTAGATATCTTTTGATTGTTTCTTACAATATTCTAATGACGGTTTTTTTGACGTGAAGAGAATCAAATTTTACTCTCAGTAATAATATTATATTAAATTTCACATATTTTGAGTTATAACACTATTGTAATAGCAGTGCGACTTGTTTGTTACAATTTATTTATACACGTAGATATATAGGTATATCTACCTATATATCTACTATATATAGTTATATTTATAGTTTTATTTGTAATATCTTTTTTAGCTCCGTTGTGGCGCACGGGAGGAACCTCACCGTAAGAAATACTATTTATTGATGTTCCTATACGTCTAGCTTACCCTTGGACAACAATTAGCGAGAGCCTACGTGTCGATTGGTAAATTCGTGGCACTACTTTGTGGCATTTTGACGGCCTCAGTTGTCGAATGGCTTGCACACCGGTTTTCATGGTGTCTTGTTTGAGGTCCCGGGTTCTTTTTTTAACTTTTCTATATTGTCTCGGGTTCGGGTGTTTGTGGTACCGTCGTTGTTTCCGGTTTTCATAACAAAACCGCTTTAACTACTTACTTTGGGATCAGAGTAACAAAAGTACTTTAACTTTCCATAACGCTGGTATGTGATGTTGTTTTATTAAAAAAAAATTAACCACCTCAAAAGTATTGTGCAATTAACCGAATAGGGTTTCAAGAGTATTGGTGTATTTGTATTGATTCACATTTTATTTATCATCAGTCAATAATATACCAAACAAAAAACATAAGCATATAGCAAATCGTAAAATTTTATGCATGGCGAACCCAAACGCTTATTATGCGTAATTACCTGTAGTGTATATGCGCCTAAAGGACACAGGTTCGATGTTCGCTGACTCAGAGTATGGACAAGTTACTGCTTCTTCTTGTTTTTGTTTTATGGTGATTTTATTTATACTTTCTTTTGAATATTTGATTTTTACTGAGTATCTTTTATTACAATGTTTTCGTAATCCGACTTACAGACCTGATGCACAGGTTTTCTTTATTCACAATGAAACTTTAAACTTGGTAGCAGTCAAGATACTTGTGAAAGAGTTCGTCCAAGGCAGTACTAACACCTTGCGTATTTCTGTCGCCAAGCAGTAATGAGCGCATTACTGCGTTCCGGTTTTGAAGGGTAATAGTGCTTGTTAAATTACAGGACATGGGACTTGTCCACTTATGTCTCCGGGTGACAGTTGCAATTGCTGTGCCCCTCAGATCTTTGTGTTTTAAAGCTCTGAGTGGCACTGCAACTGCCATGGACAGGCATGTTGCTTAACACCAGTCACTTGTTATCGTAAAAAAATAAGCTTATAAGAAGAAGAAAATATTGTAAGAGCGCAGAACGTCAAATAAAAAAAAATAATAGTACGGGAGCGAGTCGAATGCGAAAATGGAAATAGAGTTGCACCAACACGATTTCAACTCCATCTGTATAAAATTCTGTCTATTTTTCTGTCCGGAATGCAGCAGTTTAAACATAACATCACGGTATCCATCATTATCTTGGAATATACCAAATTAAACTTTACACGAAATCCATCTCAAAGTTTTTAGTTTTAAAAACTACTTTAGAACGTGGAAATGACCGGCTTGTATCGCTGTGATACAACATCAAAGTGTCTGTAAATAAAATTTTATTCAATAAACATTTTTAATTAATTATACAGCTTCAAAAAACCAGTTAATAAAGACAATGGAAAAAGAAAAGTATAAGGCTGGTAGCCTTACAAAGCCGGAAGGAGGGAACGTGGACAATCTGGCAGCTGACGTTGTCATAATCTGCGTAACTTGACACCACAACGGCAGTGTCTACTCCTGGTTTGAACCTGATACGGCTTCTTTGGATATAGACGCCAGTGCCCATAATTCATTTCCTTATTGTAGTAGAACATTGTACGTAAATTAAAAATTGAATCTGTATGCAGTTTCAATTTATTTAATTTCCTTAAAATTAGTGGGTCTGTGTGAAATAAAAGTTTACAACAGGATTTATTATAAATCCACATGATAAACAGCTTACCGCTGGCACTACTGATACGTATTCGCTAGGCCTTTCGTATTAAACATGTGATAAGAGTAAGGGTATTGCAATAAAATTGTTTTGTTACTTACTTATATAACATGAACATGCTGAAAATGTATCTCGAAATTCGAATTTTGAAATTTTGAATGGAATGGTTGAAGTCAGTGGTCGGGGATATTTTGTTCCTTTTTAGTAGAACGATCATTAGTGAGCAGTTTGGCGCCATTACCCTTGTGACGTCACACACATTGTTTCCATTTCTTTCTATTGATTTGTGAATAAGGTGTATTAAAATACGATTTTATTTTTCAACGGGTATCCGTTTTCTTTAACATTTCATTATCAATTTGCCGTTTTTTACCGACGTAAAAAAAGAAGTTTGTGTGTGTATGTTACTCAATTACTCCGGCGTTTGTGAATTTCGAGGATCCATTTTTGTCACTAGTGGTCCTATTCAAATTTGAAGAAAATATTCCACATCTAAGGGTGACAAATTAGGGGATGAATCTGGTTTTTGAATTTCACCCAAAATTTGATTTTCCCATTAATTTGAGATCAGTTTTTTTTTATAAAAAACTTTTTTTAATACTAATGGAAAACATTTTATTTTTGATACTAGCAAATACCTTGTTATAGTTACCACATTGTTATTTTGTAGTGTAAAATACTCGAGAAATAAGGAAATCTGTATATCCACGGTTGCCAAAACAACTAACCGTTTGACAATGTTTCTGATTTAAACTGAATTAACCAAGTCACAGCGTAACAAGTGTCGCACCTGATTACAAAGCTACAAATTTACTTTTGCTGCTGTTTTCTAACACTGTACGTTAACATTCATAAAGAAAATGCTAGTTCTGGATATTCTCATCTGCACTGATAATTGTGTAGTATAACACTCCAGCCTACACCTTGTCATCCACATCTCATAACGATTACGAACAAATTGTGTGTACTGTAGATTTCAGCCAATCAAGACTTGTCACTTCATCTGAAGTTGCGTTAATGAACTTGAGAAATCCTCTTTATGAAAAAGGGTTTTCATTTGAGTTTCGTTCACAATTTTTGTTATTCAATTGAATTTTTATATCTTAGAATATGTAATTGACAAGATAAAGAGTTGTAGACAGTCGATAAAAATAAGGCGATGGATAATGCACATAAATAGAACATCGGCTGATTGCATTTAGTAAATAAGACACGTAATGACTTAATGTCTAAGAAATATATCAATGTACGACAGAATGAATTGTCCCAACACAAAAACAGATGTCTGTACAGATATTACGAATTTCATATCATTTAATATACGTCTCACGTAAGTTGTTGTAAGTGAAAATACCATTTTTTTTTTTGCTTTTTAACTTTAATATATCCGTTTTTTATGTATGTAAAGAAATCACTTAGTGTTATGTATTCTTTCAAACTTGGAACGTTTAGTATACATAAAAATAGGATTATATTTAAGTTCAAAAGCAAGAAATGGCATTTTGACTTACAACAACTACGTGTGAGGTATCGTAAAGTGGAATAGGAAATATTTTTACGAATCTAAATTCTAAGAAACAATCGTTTCGGGCCCTGTAAAGGTCCCATAGTCACGGTTGATTGAGACGGCAAAGTCATCAACCAGTTATATCTTATATTGGCCTGTAAATAATGATCAGGAAGGACTCGAAACTTTGGTTTGTTTGAAAAAAAAAATGTGCCATTTAGAACAGATAAAGTAGTTTAATTCCTATCATTTAATGTAGTTCTGGAACCTATTTTTTACATTGTTTTATGTTTTATTTACACTCCCTTTGCAACTTCTAAATTTGACCCTGAGCTTTGGTAATAAAGTCGCCTCTCATACAATACATACTTTGTTATACTTACAATGATGCTCTGTTAGTTTTTGTAACTTATCTGTTTGTGTACCTTACAACATATTTTCTATAGACTTGCGCTATTTACAAACGCGATTAAATAAAACAACCTTTCATAACTGAGATTAATAAAATCTGCCTCACACTTATTACGGAATCTGGTTGAAAAGTAGTCTCATAATTCTTGTTTCTTATACTTGCGCGAAATATAAATCTACAAGAGTCATTTCCGTTTACTAAGCAAACATAAACAAGTGTCATTATCTGTCAATTTATCTTTATTATCTTCAGTGCTATCTTTTATCTTTAAGGATATTTGCGTTCAATAAGTTGTTGCAGTCGTAATATTGCAATGGAAGTTTTTGGAAGTATTTGTTTTAAATAATTAGCATTGCTTGGAATTGCAAATAATATTCCTTTTTTAATTTATATACTATAGAACCAGTGCGGTCACTAGATTTAATTAGTATTTGTACTGATTATTAAAAAATAAATAGAGTAACAAAGGTTCGAAAACAGTGAGAATACACTCGAAAAAGGTAATTAAATGGCTTAACCGTAGAAAATTTTCGAACGCTAAAATGCCTTCTCGGGTAATCTAGAAATTTCTCAAAAATGTTGCCTTTACGTTTTAACAAAGAAGTATTATTATCGCTACAGCACTGCAAAGGCCTTCGAGTTTAATTTCAGAGTCGAGTTAATGATATACCTACAGGTGATAAGTGCGCGGATGTTCCGCGCGGAATTGCATTCAATGGATAACGAAATACATTCCATCAAACCAAACTAGAACCTTATGTATCAACAACTATCGCTCTCTTGTTTCTCTAACTTACTTTTTTTTTCTTTTCTTCAGCCCGCAGCAGTGGCGCAGTCGCAGCCCGTGGAGCTGCCGCCGCTGACGTCAGCACCCGCGCCGCACGCCGCGCTGTGCGCTGCTCCTCGCACCATCGTCATCCACCGCCCCGACGCCAGACACGGCTTCGGATTTATATTGAGACATTTTGTTGTCTATCCACCTTCTTCGCTGCAGGTATAATATTGTTTTATAAGAAATTATTGCAAAGACTACAAAGTAAAGGAGTTACCACACTTTTCGACACGGAATAATAATAAAACCAAAGAAACACATAAATTGCCTGATCTCAAACTAGGGAATTCCCTGTAATATCAGAACCAGAGCAATGGACTCCGGGGCACTATCTGGAACACTCAGACTAGAACCAATTTAGATAAGTTCATTTCTCAAATCGGTCCTACCGGGAATCGGACCTTCGCCTCCAGCGGCCACAATGCAAATAATTGGGTTACCGACGTCTGTTGTCAAAGAATCGCATTAATCCAATCAGAAAAAGCTTTAAATCCATGTAATAAAATTGAATAATTGAAACTTTATTATAAAAAAAACCGATCACAAAAATTCGTGGAATTACATTTATTTGCCAAGTTTTATTGAAATCGGTTACCGGAAAGTGCGCGAAACCGGATTCATCCCCTAGTTTGCCACCCTTAGAGGCGGAATATTTTCTTCAAATTTAAATGGGACCAATACTGAGATACCCTCTTACCAACAAAAAAGAATCATCAAAATCGGTTCACAAATTCGTGAGTTATCACATAACATACATACAATCCTTTATTTTGAAGTCGGTTAAAAAGACGTATTTTTCACGCCGCCGAGACATGCGACGTCTTTATCGCTCTTATTGCATAGAGATAAAAGTTTTTCTGTCCAGTTTAAGTCAATTCAGTATATTAACAAGTGTGGTGAATCCCTTAAACTACCTACGTGGTATTTATAATTATACCGTCATGAGAAGGGCAGAGGCCAACTCCTTTAAAGCTCTGTCCGGGTTACGATTCCTGGTAAATCATATTTACTAATGACATCTTAATTTGGTCGCGCACCAACTAAAGTGGTAATTATTTAAGTGTCGTCCGCAGAATTACTACTATTGTCTTGGTACTCATTCAGGTGATCCTCTTCAAACTAGGTAATTGATGATTTCCACGCTTTCATGTTCAATTTCATGCAATTCTTTTAACTGACGAAGGTTTCTCTAAGAAAGCGAGAATTATTTTTTGACGTGAACGTGACGGGTCGAACAAGCCGTCGTGATGTTAAGTGACTAGCCCGTCCATAGCAGTTGCAGTGCCACTCAGAGCACTAAATCGCTAAGATCTCGGGTATGCCGCCACAGCGCCAGTCACTCTGGGACATAAGTTGACAAGTCTCATGTTCCTGTAATTTGACCAGAACTCTTGCCCTTAAAAACTCGAAAGTAGTAATGCTCACATTACTACCTGGCGGCAGAAATAGGTAAGGTGGCAGTACTTCCCTGGGCGAACTCTTTCATAAAGAACTCTACTGCTATCAAGCGTAATTCAATGTAGTCGTACATTTTTCGAAACAACATCGATTGCCAGAAAATGTTTATCCTTACGCTGTTGACCAAATCCACATCTTTGCTAGAAATAGAATTCTTCATAAACACCGGTAACGATGTTTGAGATTGTATTCTTACATTAACCGACTTAAAGAAAAAGGAAGGTATCGATTGGGATTTCTGTTATTACTAAAGTAAATCTATGCTGTCAACTATATTCATATTTCCAAAATTTTGTTACTTCTGATTTCATTGGTGAGTTAAGCCTCTGTAAATAAATTGGTAACAAATAAATCATCATGAATATCCTTATTCTTCTAAGCGAATTGGCCTTGGATGGTGGACAAAATTGTTTTTCACTGAAGGTGTTTAACTTAACAACAGTGTAAAGATCAAAATATAAAAGCTCAGTGTGTCTGTCATTGGACACCACTTGATCAGTTAAGTCGCGTATTCCAGGAGCTATTCGAGGATGCCAGGCACCTGGCGGTGGGCGCGGTCAGCGCGCCCATGGACACGATCTTCGTGAGATCAGTACGGCCGGGCGGGCCGGCGGCGGCGGCAGGACTGCGCGTCGGGGACCGCGTGCTCGCCGTGAACGGGGAGCCCGTCGCCGGTGGCCGCGCCACTTACGCCAGGGTTGTGCAACTGGTGCAAAGAGAACCTCATACACTGAGGCTCACTGTTGTGCCTCGAGACCACGATCTTTTGCAAAGGGTAAGCTAACTTTATATTGTTTTTTTTAAACTAGTCTTTGCCTTAATGTTCCTTGCGGCGATGATTAACGATTATAGGAATTTAAATGATTCTAGAATATGCAGCGCGGAGGGTGTCTTTTCCAAACCTGTTTATCAAATTCAAATTTGAAAAAAGAAAACCTGAGATTTTCTTTCTGAACATTTGTGACTTAATATTCTTATATTCAATCATATGGAACTTCGTCATTGTAATAAAGAACTTTTCCACAGTATTTCAGTGAAGCGGCTTACCACCCCGATTCAAATCAGCGGACTGCAGAAATGCCAGCGCCGATCACAGAACACGAATCGCGGCTGTTCGACGCATACAGGCGCCCTAGGGCTGCACTGCCCGCCCCGCAAGCGCCAGGGAGGCACAGGGAAGAGCCAGAATATGCCAGTGTAGCTTCCATTGCACCTTCGAAATACGATGTCCCACGGTTGACAAGTGGTTCGCATTATCTGCTGCACGACAGGTAGGTGTTACAGTAACAAAGTTTCTATCCTTAATTATAATATATATAAATAAAGTGTTTGCGTTAATTAAACTTTCGACACGCCTACAACTAAGTGCACAGTCCAATAAAACAGATCTTGGCGTCGTTCGGACGCAAAAAATAAAATTTATTTCTTAAAAAAACCCGTTCGACTATTACATCCGAGTTTAAGTGAGATACTGAAAGGACAGATGTCATTAAATCATTCGTACCTTTTACCATTCCAGCAGGCGAGAATCAGATACGTCTCTACCCTCATCGGCAGCAGAAAGCAAAGACAGTCTCGGCTCGTTTGACTCCAACTCGACTCTAACCGGGCGCGAGCTCGACGACTCGATCATCCTCTCACGAATACGAAAAAGCCTCGAGCAAAAGGAGGCCTTCCTTCGACGGCCAAGCCAGCCGACAGGTTGGGTCACGCCAGATGCCCCACCTCCAATTAAACAAAAGGAATTCTATGCCAGACCGCAGAAATTACAGAAACCTGCATGGCCGCCACCTGCTACGTCTCCTCCTCTCACAGCTTCGCCACCTCCATCACTCCAACAACATGTTCAGGAACGAAAAGAAGACTGCTCAGCCAGTGTTGACAGTGGAACGTATAGCGGAACTTATACAGAGCTCAATGGAACCCACGACAAGAGCAGACTTAGACAGGACAAGAGCCAGTTCGTTTCCACATTGTCAAAGATACAAGAAGGGCCCATTCAGAGCACAAACGTCGGGACTGTCAGCAATGGTGGTAGTTCAGAGTTTAGAGACGAATTGTATCAGACACAGGCACAAATACATGATACCAGGTACGCAAGAATTCACGCTGTTTTTGTAGTAATTCTGTAATACTTTCTGTGCATTATCATGACTTGATAGTCATGATCGTCGGTACACGTCGACTACTGAACATTTTTTTATAATAACTGAGTGACGAGACGAACAAGTCGTGCGCGCCTGATAGTAAGCGACACGCCTGTCCATAACAGTTGCAGTACCATTCAGAGCTTTAAATTACGAATCACAAAACAAGATCTGATGGTCACTGCCACTGCGCCCGAAACCCTGAGACATAAGTTGACAAATCCCTGTAATTTCACCAGCAGCCTTAATCCTTCGAAACCAGAACGCAATAATGCTCACACTATTGCTTTGTGGCAGAAATAGGTAAGGGGGCAGTACTTCGCTCGACGATCTCTTTCACAAGGAGTTCTATTGCTACTAGAATTGCAATGACTTCCACAGCTTAGACTGTATCTAACGGCTCTCTATGGTACATACATATCTAGATGCGTACTAGAGTTTCCATTCGTCTGCAATAAACGTGTATTGTCTTTAACTCTTTTGTTCCTGACGAAATTTGCTAAATTATCAGCAGCTATTAAAAATTGAGGATGGTTTTCTTTTCTTATTCCAGATATCCAGTCCCAGAGTTACAACTGGTAACGGCTCGAACAAGACAGCTAGAAGAAGCGCGAGGAGGCGGCGAGCGGCGAACAGAAGTGGCGAGAAGCGAACTCGCTAGACTGTCAACAACGAGGCTCGAACCGAGCGTCGCGTTAAGGCGGAAGGAATTCGAATCCAAAGCAGCTAGGAGAGAGGCGAAATCGCTTGATGTGCAACCTCACCAAGGTAAAATTACTTACTTAGCTTACAAGTTGTAGTGCATACATTTATTTTATTACCTTTATCTTTAAGTGAAATTAGGATATATTAACCCTACTCAAACCTCACAAAGTATGTCTTACTTGTTCTCGTGCCCACGGTGTCCGACCAGCTGCACCCGCGAAGACCTTTTCAGTATGCCTGATAGTAAGCGACACGCCTATTCATAACAGTTGCAGTGCCACTTAGAGCTTCTTCGCAAAGATCTGAGCGACACTGCCACTGCGCCTGTCACCTTGAGAGTTGACAAGTCCCATGTGCCTGTAATTCCACTAGCACCCTTACCCTTCAAAAAACGGTGTTCCGTTTTTTGAAGGATAAAGGTGCTAGTAATAAATGTATGCAGAAATAGGGAAGGTGACAGTACTGCCTTGACGAACTCTTTCACAAGCTCTATCGCTACTAAACCTAAACCTAGACCTGCTAAAGGCAACGGACATGGGCATAGAGGTGGCCGCTTAATAGACTAAAGTAATATAACACCGGTTTGTTGTTGGTTTTTGTTATTGCTTTGCCAAGAAGAAGGAGATTAGCTTTATCGAAGCACCGGTGAGATATAAAAATGTGGTCTGCTTCTTGATCCTCTATTTCCTTATACGAGGCATGTCAATTAAATTTTAACATAGAATTTATTTTATTATCGCTATCAGTTTAATCAGTACAGGGAATAACAAGGGAGACAAGTAGATAGTATACCCAATAAAGTATCACTAGTAAATCAAATGGAATAGGTAGAGTTTATTTACCTAGACTTCGACGAACAGAGACAGAAAGAGGAGACTGCCTTGCATCTACATTTTTTGTCCCGGATTTTTTCGGGATTCTGGAAATCATTTAAATAGATAACGCAACATACTCTCCATGGTCGAACGGTTACAGTCCTGGACTGTTAAGCAGAGGCCCTGGGTTCGATTCCCAGGCCGGGAGAAAGGTGTATGGCCTACATTTATTTCTCTCGTGAATCGCACACCCGCGACACAGGGTTTCCCTAGTGTGGAACTATGAGTGTGCTGTGTTATTAAGTAGATTAAAAATTGAAGTTATTTGGGATAAGTAGTAGGTAGACTATATTTATTTAAACTTTGTGACGAGTTGCTGCAACCACCAATTTTTCGGAATATTTAAGAAAATTCCAACAAAAAAGTATTTAAAATTTTGATAAATATACTCTAATCCCAAAAAAATCCGGGACAAACAAATGTAGTCGTAAGGTAGTTTCCACTTTCTATCTCTGTTTATCGAAATTTAACTAAATCAACTCTACCTATCCCGATCACTGGCAATGTGTTAATAGATTACGTATATCAATAATTCATATAGTCCATTAATTAATTAATGCTCTGTACCAAGGCTGCGGCCGTGAAAGCGATAAGCGACGATTACGTTCGCGACTATATCTAAACCGGCTTAAGATAAGCAGTGTAGGTACCCAGGCCCAAGTAACGTGATCTCTAACAGCTAGATAAAGGTATTTGCAAATTACGTATGTATTATCACGCCTTTCTTCCCGTTGAGTAGGCGCGTTCCATGTTTTTCCACTTGCTACGACGCGGATTTTCCTTCTGTTATATAAATAACCAACTTAGCAAACACAATTGAACTAAACTCATCATCAACCCATTTATACATCCCACTGCTGGGAATGGGCCTCCTCTCGGGCAAGTGTCATAGTTTCCCAAAGTGGTCCCTACAACCCAGTGGGCGCTGAAGGATCCTAGCGTAGGGTAGGGGCCTCGGAACCAATTGGGGGACGTTGATGCTGTCCAGAGGGTGCTACCGCATTTAAAAAAAACACTTGAATTATCTGTATAAACTACACTAATATATATAATTATTTTTCCTTGATATTTTGAAGTTGATAAAATACATGTTTTAATTTATTTTTTGTGGTAGTGGGCGTTGAAATTTTTTTATCTTTCGTAAGTGGGCGGCGAGCTCAAAAAGTTTGGGAACCTATGAAATAGTCCGCCATGCTGACCTTATGCAAGTTGGAAACTTCATACGTTTTCCGAAGGTTGTAAACCTTCCCGGACGTGCATTTGTTCCTTCACTGAAAAACTCATGGCAAATATCAAATTAATTTCACACATAAATTTCTCCGTGGCCGAACGGTTACCATGCAGGACTGCCACGCAGAGGTCCCAGGTTCGATCCCCGGGCCGGGAGAAATATTTGTATGGCCTACATTTATTTCTCTCGTGAGTTCGGGTGTAATTTGTGGTTGTCCATGGCACCCGCGACACAGGGTTTTCGTAGTGCAGGGCTATGTTGAGTGTGTGCGTTATTATTAATTCCCAAAAAGCACTGCTAGCCATCGAGCCCGGATTCGAACCCACGGCCTTTGATTGAGAGGAGGTCGGTCAACCATTATACTACCACGGCTTTTTTAACTAAACTATAGAATCTTGAATAAAAATTGGATTCGTCCTAATTTAGCCTTTATTTTATATGATTTTTTCTTTTTTTTTTCAAAGTTTAATCTATAATGGGCCTGATACACTAAGCGAATACGCAAACTTGGTGTGTAATGATACAAGAGATTCGCTTATCATTTCGTACAGTCACTCACCATAGATAGATAAGCGCGTTTTGTTAGATCCTTGTATCATCGAATTAATATCAAGTAAACTTAAGCAACTGGTTGTATGACACACACGAGGTGCCTCTTTAGTGTTGAGTTGTAAATATTAGCCCATATAATGCGTAGTAATTGTCTTTTTTTCTCTGCGACCTAGTTAGGATTCTCGTGTCAAATTAAGAATTTGTGATAAAGAGTGACTGTACCTTTTGTCTACGGAAGTGTTGTAGTTGAAAATGAAGTTAACAAAAGAAACTAAATTTCGTTAAAATGATAAGATCGCTTTGATTGTGTGCTTGTGTGTTAGGCGTACTTGTGTTTCATAGAACATTTATAAGTTGTTAGTGACAACAGACGTTTTTGTGCAATAATTTGCAAAAAAAGAAGCTTATTTTGGAATTAGGAAAAATGTAAGCGTCAATTACATTATAACAAGTATATCAAACAGTATGCACTCAAAGGTACATTTTTCTTTTGCGTGTCGTACACAAGATAATGGTATCCAGTTGCATTAGTAATGTTATAGAACTACGTCAAAACAAAGCCGTGATACTAAAAACATTGTAGGTATGTGACAGATAAAAACCAGCCAACTCAAATAAAAATGCAATTTTTAAAGACATGGAGCATGAAGCGGCGGCGCTGGCACAAGCGGCGAGCCTGTCTGGCAACCAGCTCATGATCACCGGCAGCAAACACCTCCATTGCCCTCCTCCTGATGGATTCATCCCTGGTAAGTTGATATTTATAGTAAGAATTTAAAAGGAGAAACTTAAAACCAAGTGCTATTTTCCATTCTTTAGAGTAAAGACATTTGATACCGTACTTGATGTGTTTCGGTACTTAAAAGAGTAAATTCCGCGATTTATTCACTCATTTTCTATCTGCCTTCTGAATAAGTTTTAAAATTAAAAAAAAAACATTGCATTTGTACATTTGCGTGTGTTGGTGACTCTATACGCAATCGTCGTGTCATGTCGTAGTGTGACTAAGAATCGCTTTTCGGCTCACATGCTCATAGATAATGGAAAAAAACCCTTACAGTGTTTGCTTTTTTGTTTTATGTTTATGATTTTGTTTATGATTGTTCTCTTAGTTGTTTTTCGTGGCATGCTCGGTAGATGGCGCTCGCACTTTAAAGGCCCACGTGCAGACTATTCCTCGTTTCGATCAATCGTCACGATAATCGTATCGATTCATCATTTCGATCAGTCTGAAACGATGAATCGTGAAGACAAATGTTCGCGTATATGGGGGCTTTAAAAATAATTTAATTCACGGAATTTTTTGAAGCGACCTCTGTCGGCAACAACATTGTGAACTACTTACCAAAGACTGGTTGCTATATTGGTAAAAATCAACTGTATTAGGAGAGCCTATATGCAGCACTCATTCAAAGCACGACATCGACATTCAGTTTACACTCGTTCTTTGTCTGACTGTCATAATTAACATTTTGCAAAATTTTCAAGGCCATGTATTTTATGGTTAGCACTTCACATCTCGAGCTGTAGCTCGTGGCTAAATCTCATTATTAATTACATGTATTCATATATAAAAAAGTCGGAAATTAGTGGAGAGGCCGTTATTGAAAATTAAATAAATCGTACTCGATAACGACAAAAATGTCAGATACGACAGTAAGGAAAGAGATGGTAAAACCGTGCTAATTAATACTTTAAGGAATGTCTGCTTTGCAATCACAATGATGATGATGCGGTTTGAAGGATAGTGAACTGAACTAAAGGACATCCTTAACAAACATCTTTAAAAAATCAGCATGTCGTGTTCCGTATCTAAACAATTGTGTTGATAAAATGTTTTTTTTTTCCAGAATCAGATAAAGTTCAAATGAGAACAAGGTCAAATAGTACCGGAAGCGAAGGATTGCCCATTAGAAGACATCATGCCTCGGGTAATTTAATTTAAAAAGTTATTTTGTTAATACAACATTATTGTTTCTGGAGTTTCTTTTCATCACACTACTCGCACATTCTAGTGCACTTTGTGTCACATCACTTTGAGTGTTTAGTTTGCAATTGAGCTATTCACCGAAAAAAGGTAAGTATGTTAAGTTAGCTCAGTTTATCTAACTATTCATTCAAAACATGCTGCGTTTTCATTTGTCTCCAAGAAGATGGTAGATACAAGAAAAACACATCACTACCGACATTTGGGATTCAGAACAGAAGTACACACGGGTTTTTATGTGCTTTTTCTTATCTCGGTTTGTGATTTGCATATGCTTATTTGTGTATTTTTCGATCGTTGTGTAACGTTCCGTATTTTACCACAAGCAAATTAAAGATTAAGAAAATCTTGTCTCTACTATTCATCTGTTAACAATTTCACAACACAAGCTTATCTACACGCTTAAGACAGCGGGGTGTTAATGAAAACGCAACAGCAACCTGCAATAAAATGAGTAAAGAAAGCGAGGTTGGAAGCGTCTAATAGCAGTATTCGCTCCAAGATGGCAGTCACGCGAAGCGACGAATGGGGCTGAACAGGGAGCAAATGGAGGCGATGAATCGGGTGTCGCTGCCCGGCGCGCCGGCCGGGCCCGATGCGCCGGCGCGGCCGACGCAGCTGAGCCTAGCGCCGCCCTCGGCGTCCACGTCCACGGCGACCTCGCCTTCGCCTACGCCGAGCACTCCCGCCGATTCAGGTCCCCGTCCGCGCAAACGCACGCTCAACTTCTTTGCTTTCGCTCCCTCTCGCCGCGCCGCCCCTGCGCTAATCGACATGACACACTAGCCCGTAACACGACATTCATTTCCAGTAACTGCTCGATATGGAATAAGATGCACTTTTACTAGAAATTAACAAAATCAATTACAAACGTAGCTGTCAGTGGCGATGAGTTCATATAACACGAGTTTCGTCTGCTTTGATCGTAGATTAATCTTAGCATAAAAACATTAATAACAATACCGTACAAATCCCAGTTGTTTCGTACAAAACAAAACGCCTAAAAATGTTCTTCGGCAATGTAATCCGGCCTATAGCAGTTTCCTAAACTTCATTAAATTTGCACCTGTCTATTTCACTTCAGTGAAAAACTATATATTCCGTCTTATATTTCACGCACCTATTAAAAAATAAAATATAATTGAATGCATGCCAGTCTGAAAACAAGGGTTAGCAAATTAGAAACGCACAGGTGCAATCGCGTCTTTCAACTAAAAATTCTTAAATAGCAAAACTTTAATGTGTGTTTATTTGGAAATTACGGTTTCTTCGTTGATTCATTATTTAATTACCTGCAACAGTATTTAAGTTTTAATAATAAAAATGTAGAAATTTGTACAGGATATTACTTTGGTTGGATAGAGAATTTACATAAAATACTATAGAGTTTTTTGTAATTTAAATATACTACAGACATTTATTCTCCTAATTGTTCTAGATATTGTACGAAAAATTTCTTGAATTACAGCATTTTCTGTGTCTATATCAGTTTACCTATTTCAAATATGCGCCCTTTGCTACTGGTAGCTCTATCATGGGCTCATAGTCTATTAAAGTATTGTAGAAAATTTTTCAAATCCATATTGTTTTGTCATTTCAAACTTGATTCACAAATGTTCCTCCATGAATATTATGGCAAAATAATCGAATGTAGGCATGGTTGGTAACGAGATTTACATACCATAGATGCATACACCAGTACCTGAGATATAGTTATTCTATATAACAATAAAATGTTTACCTTACTAACAGAGCACAAAACGCCACAAACCATGCATGTCCAAATAACAAATACTTTCCAATCACTGTCCTTTATTTACTTGACATTGGTTTTAAAGTATCAAAGAGAGGGAGCGATCTTTACCTAACTTTCATGTCTAACCACGGAATGCGATGTGCGCTTCTAGGTGTGCTACTAACGCCGACTAACCGCCCTTGTGCATCGATGTCTAATTATTAACATAAATAATTTCTTTGTATGGAATTTTTGATGATAATGATGTGATTATTTTTAACAGGTTTTGCTGATGATCTGGTGACTAGAAGACAGAAGAAGGATGCTCAACTTGGTGGTAAGTATTTTTATTCATATGTAAGTGAATAACAATGGAATGCGTACGAGACAGACAAACGTACATTTTAAATATGTATATTTTTTATTTAATAATTATGTTTTTAAGCATATTTGTGTGTTACTTTGCTGTATAATGGTGCCGAGTGAAGACTCGGCTATTTGTATTTGCGTCAGTTGACCACCATGTGTTGATAGCATGTTTGACAAAGTATTTGCTTTGTTTGGCTATTCACACAGCAAACACCAAACTAGCGTTACCGCGCGTTGTTCGGTTTTTTACGCTCATCAAAGGAGCCAAATACACAAATACGCAAATAAACCGTCCACTCTATGTTCATATTTCGACCCCTCCTACTTAAAGTACCGTATGTCGAAAGTGCCAAGTTTACAGGGAAGCGTTTTAAAGTTCTGAATTCATTAAAATGGGCATAACACGTGAATTTGGCATTTCTCAGTTTTATTCGGGAACGAGTTTTAAAGTAAGGAGCTTTGCCGAATACAACTGAGAAATGCTAAAGTCACGTGCTATGCACATTTCAGTAAATTCAGAACTTTGAAACGAACGCTCCCCTGTAAACTTGGCAATTTCGACATACGATACTTTACGAAGGAAGAGTCGATTTATTAACTTCTTATTTGGCTCCGTATGTAGACGGTCATATCAGTGTTTGAAATGTTTGTCTGTACGTCAAATGTTTTTCCAAGTACATCAAACACCCACAATTTAAACAAATATTTAACTTTGCGGAATTTAATGCTTTATGTTTAAACAACTTTTAATAACGATTGTACAATTTAGTATTTCTATTGCAGAGGAAGAACGAGCCATGCGAAGGGTATCGTACTTGAAGGCTACGTGGGGCGACAGATTGCACTTAGAGAGTGACGTGGAACCGGAGATTGATCACCACGCTTTGAGAAGGTGCGACCTAATCTTTCTGGCTGCCTGTCTATTTATTAAACTTCTCTAATTTTTGAGGTCACTTGTTTCTGTAATTTCGTTCGCAAACAAGTCTATTTCCATTGTTCGTCCGACATCCAACCGAAACGATTACTGTCAAATGAGTAATACTTGACATTGTGTTTCGATTTGGTCGAGTATTACTTATTTGACAGTAATTGTTTCGAACGGAAAACGGGATTTGACACATTACTCGTTGAAATTTCTAGTACCTACGACTGACACGACAATTTAATAAAATATTGGCAAAACATAAGGAATAAAATGGCAATAATATTAGAACTCCTTGTGAAGGAATTTGTCCAGGACAGTACTGCCAACATACCTATTTCTGCTGCCAAGCAGTAATGTGAGCTTTGAAGGATAGGGCAGAGGCAGTGCCCCTCAGCGTGCTGATTTTGATTCAAATCAGAATGGAACCGATCGGGTAGTCTCGAAATCAGACGGGTTTCTGAGCGAGAGTATAAACCTGATTCCTACTATATGTTTCTATTTTGTGAGTTAAATCAACTATTGTTCATGTCATGTCAAAAGTTTCGGATCGGCTAGTTGTGAATCACAATAATGCGCCTCGACTCGGAAAAAACGCAGTTTCCGATCGGGAGAGGCAATTAAAATCAAGCTGCTGGTGTTTGCAATTTAAAGATCTGAGTTTCAATACAACTCTTATGGATAGGCGTGCCGCTCACTACCTGTTCTTACCTTCAATTTATATTTTTTATTATTTCTTTAATATTATTATTTTTAAGTATGCAGAAACAAATGACACTCATTTTCTAGGTGCCCTAGTCTATTCAGTAGAAATGTTCGAGTAGAAATCGTGCTAGTACTGTGTCCCTGTAGAATTTTCCATTGACAAATGAATCTTGTTCGTAAAGCACTACGTCTCTTATGTCTATGTTACGTACCTATGTTGTAGATAGACTGACCACATGTGAATTGCCCCCTGTTTATGCCAGTAGTGGATTGTAAGTGTCTGACATTTCACATGGGTATCTAACACAAAATCTTATATCACTTTATGGCAACTATATTGACGGTTACCAAGCTTTATAGTCATAGTAATCGATACATATATCATGTATTTGCGATAAAGCGATGATACTTACTAGAAAATGTGAAATTTACTAACGGGGCGACTAAAATTGGGGTTGTACAATAAATACAGTGCCCACCGCAAGTGGCGCCCTCCTCGGTTCACCGACGACATAACGCCGCTGCTCCGCATATTCGACCCGTCCGCGAACCTCCCCGCCCGCGCCCGGTATGTCGCATGACGCGATAAATGGAGCTTTCAACAATTTGTGTGCAAACAGTTCCAATTTGCGATAACAGACGGCGCTAGTTTTAAACACATAGGAAATTTGTAGTTCCTATGAAAGCCTTTGCACTGCATTTTGCCTAATTTCAGTTAAATGGCTAAGGAATTTGAATTTTATTTAAATATATGTCAAGTAAGTACTAAATCGTCACAAAAATTAAACGAAGAAACATTCACGTAACTTTAAAATTAAAATGTAACATAATAACGAAAACTTTGGACAAGAAGTCAACAAAACCAATATAAAAGTCTGGTCAAAGATTGTTATCCCTTAACATTTCATCAAATGCATGGTGTAGAGTATGTCATACGTTTGCATGTACCTCAATGTATTAAACGATATGTGCTAGTGTTATAGGAACTTATGTAGAACTTTTATGTGTTGAGCATGTTTGTTGTATGTATTTGAATCTTATCTTATTATTAGTAATTAATATGTTGTTGTATTATTGAGCAAGTTACTATGTACTAAGTTACTATGTCAATGATAGTATGTACAGATGTGGTTTCCAATTTTAACTTTAAAGTTTTAAATATTCGCAAAACATTTTTTCTAAATATGCAATTTAAATTTAGGAAATATTTTATTTTGGTGTATATATTGGTGTAACTTTCAGAAGTTATTGCGTAAATTTTTTTAAGAAAGTGTTATAAGTAATAACACTTAAGAATTTGAAAGTATTTACCCACGAACCACATTACTGCTCTGAGCTCTATTATAGTCCCATAGTGGGTCACTGCTCATATCCGTATATATTTATTTGGTGTACGAGCTACTTTACGTAAGTATTTTTAAATTTTTCTTCTTGCATCTCAATAATTAATTTCTGTATGTCCAACAGCCAAGACGAAAAAAGCGAAGAAGGTGCTTCAGAAAGCGCTGTGGAAGCTGTCGAAGGCGATGTGCAGGGCAATGTGCAGATCAAGATGGTGGTTAGTAACGGAAAGGTAAATATTTGCTTTCACTGTTAAATAAATCTGATTGTTCCCTAAAGAAATTCATAATCAGATAGTTAATGATAAAATGTTTTTTTAATTTTTTTGAAATTTTTATACCTTTGTGAGAAGATTCAAACGAAATTTTCAAGATGATACCAGCAACAACAATCCTCTAATTTTTGTGCCTATACATCCTATACATGCAATCGTTAACTACAGAGTTGACTACATACCTTATATTATACGGTTTTGACAATCTGTTGACATTTCTATAAATTTTGTAACAAATTACATGTTCTAAATTAATACAAAGATGCTTAGAAAAAATTCGAACCATTCCAGACGCTATGCCAACTAAGCCACGGAACGAACCAGCGGACCTTACGAACTTTTCTATGTGCTTGTTGTCGGATCTTTATTCGATTTTTAACGACTTATTTGCCGTAGCGCCATCTGTGAGAAATCAAATCTTATGAAAAAAGTACTTCTTCACCCATTCACACAGTTTGGTGCCTTTACAGCTACCGACACTGGCAAGAGATGTTGCTTTTTAATTGTAATTAAGTTTTTATTAAACGTTAGATGTTTCACCGCCATGATATTCAATTATTTTTTGTCAAATTACTCCACTAATTTGTTATAATTATTAGTATAAAGATCGAACACTTAGAAAAAATTCCATCGATTCGGCCGGATTCGAACCAACGTCTCCCAGCAAACCAATTTTATGTTCGAATTTAAAACCGGTATGCACGTTTTCCCGTCATTTCACATGGTGCCTTGAAATCAAAGAGACAATGGCGATAATCTACAGTAGGTATTTTTATGTGTGGTTTTGTTTTAGCGAGCAAGCGACCGATCGTGGAAACAAGTCTGGGCGGTGCTACATAGAACCAAGCTGTATCTGTATCGGCATCATCCAAGTCAGGTAGGTGTAACTTATTCATAACTGAAGTCTAGAATTTGTTCAATAATGTTATTAATTTGAATGTTTTAATTTCTATGTCATGTTTGGAGAATACCTCCAACTCCTAAAACACAGATTTCTTTTTGACCTATATTAGGGTTATATGATTAAAAAGGCATGTTGTAACTATAATTGTGTTGAACCACCTTGAATTTCTTTTTTACTTACGGTGAAACCTGTTTTAGTATATGTACGAAATAAATTGAAATAATATAAAGTTTTTTCTATCGGTATTATTCTTCAATGTAATGTAATGTACCAGACAATCACACCAATTGCGTGGTCTCAAGCTAGGGAATTCCCTGTACTAGGAGTACCAGAACCACGAAATTCCTTCTGAGGCATTGCCCAGAACACCAGAACCAATTTAGAAAAGTCAATTACCTAAATTGGTCCTACCGGAAATCGAACCTGCGACCTCCTCATCGTGTGCCCACAGTGCAAACCGCTCACCACAAGGTCATCGATGACCACTGTAGCCAGTAACAGCGGTTTAATTCGCGTTAACGAATTTAAGCAAATATCGAAGTATCAGAATTTTTCTTCATATTTTACCGAGTAAATTACCAATCTATATACAATGCCAAAAAACGGCTAGAAGCCTCTTAAAATGCAAAGATATTTATTCCAATCGATTGAATGGAACCCTTCGGCCTTCGTGGAATCTCTTGGCCCATTTTATTTGCATCGCAGGGTAGCCTTGACGTGTCGATCTATAGCTATATTTACGTAGATTTTAGTGAAGTGACAGCTTTATACTGGTTTAGTTATAAATGGTAGATAAAATAAAATTTTGTTTTTCAAAAACATCCACCCGTCACCACTGCTGCCTACATGCGCACCCCATATAATGGAGTGTCGAAATCCGAAATGTAGCGCTTTTGGTAAACGCAACAAATTAAAAAGAATAACGTACGAAAGAAGTCTGAAATATCGGTTTTCGTGTCAATTAGCATTTTGTCGTATTTGGATTGAGGCAAAAGACATAATATATGGCTGGTGCTACGTAATCACGTTATTTTTTTTTATGTTTATTGTCACTTTTCCCAATAATTACTTTTTGAGTTTCTTCGTTTTATTATTATTGAGTTTGGTATACGAGTATTGTAATGACTAAATAAGAAGAAAATTTACATATGGGAGCGTATAGGGTCAAGAGCTTGACATCTCGTCAATTAAGATATAAATTCAGCTCTAAACCGCTTGTGGTAAGAACGGTTCAAAGCCTAAAGTATCTAGTTTGATGTGCTCTTGTACTATAATCAATATTTGGTATAACACAACATTTTAAATAGTTTATAGTAGAATATCATGTTTTACATTTCTCATATATATTCTTTCTTTTGCACACACTTATAGCGCCGCACTAGGGAAACCCTGTATCGCGGGTGCCATGGACACACACATAGACAAACACAAATTACACCCAAACTCACGAGATAAATAAAGGAAGGCCCATACTAATATTCCTCCAGGCCCGAGAATCGAAGCCGGGACCTCTGCGTGGCAGTCCAGCATGATAACCATTAGGCCACGGAGGCAATCTATTTTGTAAAAACACTCTAGCTTCAGATATCTACAAAGGTACCTGACTGAGTAACTTCATAAGTTTCTCACAGGTGCGTTGACGGCCGTTCAAACCCGACATAAAGACTTCGTAAGGTCTGTTAACTGTCTCTCTGTAGTGCATTTGGTTAAGAGCGGTGGCCCTGCATGGCAACAGACTCTGGTTCGAAGAAATTTTTTTATTGTTCTATTTTTGCATTAATAATACCAAATTTTTATTGTAACATACATGGTGCTTATAACATCATCATACATACATAAGTTGATGCCCATGTCCCACAGGAGGGGTAGGCAGAGACCACGTCATCATGAGTAAAAACAAAAGAACTTGTCATATTTTAACTTTCTATACGAACATACCTAGTTTCACATCACTAGGCGTGTACTATGTACACTATTAGGTAAATATTTTGTACGCTAGTAGTAATGGAATATTGTTTTTGTGGTGAATACCATGTTTGCGTCTATTATGACCTATTCCTATTATTATAATGGTCACTTGACTGTTGCCTTGAGTATTATCTAAAGTATCAAAAATAATTACTACAGAAATAATATTACCACATATACTTGTATTTGATACATTGATACATCGACTGTGAACTGGCAACCGGTACCATCTCAGTTTTGTAAAGATTTCACTTTTTTTACCATTTTATAATATTTCATACTCCGCAGCGTTGCAAGAAATTTCATCTCAGATACATTTAATTTTGGCGCCAGAATCAACTTCATTCAACTTGTACTAACTTCTAACCAAATGCTATATAAATGACGGAAACAATTCTTTTTGTCATCCTGTAAAATTGTCAAAATTGAGATAGTATCTTTTATTCACAGTCGATATACTATCTAGTAAAAGGTAGTATATTTCACTTGGTGCCGGTGCCGCGCCTTTGGGCATCGCGCCAAGAAGGCTTTCATCATTTCGCCTTAGATGGCTTATTTGATGCATTTTATTACGTAACTACTAGTTACACAATTTAATAATATTGTTCGAAATTAAATGATGGAGAAATCTTTTTGTAATATCAAGGTAATTCGTATTATAAAGGAAAGATAATAAAATTTTATTTGAACTTGACCTCTTTAATAATTGGGATTGGGTTAGATTGCTAAAGATGTACTGGCGTTTTGTGTTAACAAACTGTATTGCACTTTACTGGTGACCCAAAAGGTTGAACGCTAGGTGCGGAGATCCCAGGTTCGACACTCAGGAAGCTAATAAATAAATAAATTTCTTTATTTCCCCTACAAAAATGTTGCAGCAGAACGTTAGATTTATTATTTGTACAAAGTTTGTGGTGGCTGAAGCCTAAACTAGGATATCCTGTGATTTAGGTCACCACGTGATATAATATATAAACGTGGAGGAAAGAAAGAAAACTGTTTACAGCCCTATATGGGAAACAACCTTTTTTAAATTAGTTCATTTAATCTTAAACGTTACAAACAGGTTATATAATATAATAATAGAAATAAAAATAACTGTAATAAGCAAACAGTTCCATTATATGTAAATTAATTAGGTAAATAGGCATTCCTAACACACAAAGTCAGGTTAAAAAGACCGTAGAGTTCAGATAAAATCGACAAAATGCGAGATCGTAATACCGTGACTAGTCTATAAGTAAGGTCATACTCACGCCACTAACCTATTTAAAAATATTAATATAATAATAATTACAAAACCAACAGACAATCGGCTAAAATGCATCTATTACATTATATAAACAAAAAAAAATTTGTCAATAACATTTCCTATATTAATTAAATTTTTATTGAATTGATATTCAATTATTTATATGTATGTATGCAAGAAGACGTCGGTTCGAATCCGACCGGATCGAAGGAATTTTTTCTGAGTGTTCGATCTTTGTATTAATAATTATAACAAACATTTCCTATCTTACTTCACTGCTAATAATAATAATAATAATAATCTTTATTTCTCTCTTACAACGTTATCCTATAAATAGGGCCATAGCAGTTGCAGTGCCACTCAGAACTTTAAATTGCAAACATTTCAGGGGTACTACCACTGCGCCCGTCACCCTGAGATGTAAGTTGACAAGTCACATGTGGCTGTAATTTCACTAACACTCTTACCCTTCAAAACCGGAACACAGTAATGCAGACATACTGCTTGTCGGCAGAGATAGGTAAAGTGACACTTCTCTGGACGAACTCTTTCACAAGGAGCTCTACGGCTACTGGCACATCTCGGGGGTTCATTTTCTCGGGGGTCAATTTAATTGCTCTGGTCTGGTACCTATAGTCCAGGGAATTCCCTAATTTGAGATCAAATGATTAGTATGATTGATTAGTACATTATTATATATTGTCATTGTTATTTACGTCCCAATGTACAAGATACCTTTAAGGAGAGTGTCTCCGAACTCTTGTCCATCTTAACGACGTTCTACTTGAAGACGTTAAAATAAGTTATAATAAACGGTATAACATCGTTATTTACAACATAGTAAACACGTTATTTCCGCATTCTAATGAATTTAACCGTTGCAATTATCAAAATTGTAAGCATGTACCGCATACCGACTCTTGCGCACCTGGCCCATATCGCCCTTGTATTAACCCATAGCGCGCTATGTCCAACCAACTGTGACATCACAGGTAACTTGGCATGTTGGAACCCAGTTGCCTTATCAATATTCCTATCTTTACCTTATTTGCATAGATATAAAGGCCGTTCTATAGTTAATTAAAGGCAGTGTAAATTGATGTTGTCTTTATTTTAAGAAGTTGATATTATCTGTAATGTAGGCGCCTTATGGCAGCTATTCTTTTTTTGTTTAGTAACTGTGAAGGCATATTCATAAATATTATTTTTAAATGGTTATAGCTGTTTGCAAAAAATGAAGGTGGTAATACCAGCCTTCTTCTTTTATATATTTAAGAGCTAGGCTTTTGTCGACGGAGTAATCACCAACCTTTTCAGCGCCTTGACTTTGAATTCATTAAACAACACTAGATGTTTCTCTTATCTGATCTAAATGAACTACGTCTAGGTGTTCTCTTACATCTCTTTCCTTGTAAGAAAACAGAAAACTGGAGGAATCAGTTGGACAGAGAAAAAACCAATAAGTAGGTTATAATTTATCGAGTTCTTAGGTTTTCGCAATTGTTACACATAGGAAATGAAACTATTTTTCCGGATTTAAATCGCGTATATTTGTTTTTTCAAACAAACCGACGTTTCGGGCCCTTTACAGGTCCCATGGTCACGGTTGACTGAGGTGGTACAGTCTTCAACCAGTTATGTCTAATATTAATGCAAACCACCCTATTTTTTCACTATAGTTACAATAGTTATTAATTAAATACCTTATTTTTAATTTTACAAAGAAAACATTCCTTTATTTCATAATTTACGC